CGGGTGCAGCCCCCCAGCCCTGCACCCTGGAGACGGTCGGGTGCAGCAAGCGGAGCAGGAGCAGAGATTTATTAAGTGGGACGACAGTGGCTCCACTTGTGAGGATTGAGTGGGAGGCAGATGTGAGATTCTCGCTGTGTATTCGTGGCAGGTTCTCAGTAAATAAGATGGAGACATCCAAATCCCTTCCTTTCTGTGAGGCTCGGGCCCCAGACCCCAACAGTGTCAGCCAGATTGTTGACACACAGTCCCTTAGCTGCGTTCATGACATATGCAGAATCAGTATTTAATGATGCATGTGATGGACAGTCCTCTGACGGCACCGGTGCCTGGATTCTGGGGGCCCTGATGAAGGACTCAGCACTTCCAAGGGCAAGAGTGGGAATCTCAGTCATTCATCGGATGAACCAAGCACTTGCCACGTGTGGTCTATTTGTGACTGCATTGGCCTCGGGTGCTGGGAACCAACAGTTTGCGGGAAACTTTTCCTACTGGAAAAGAGGAAGAAAGATAGAGGTAGGCAGGGGTGAGTGACAAGTGACTTCCTGTGTCAGGGAGTGTTCCCGGAGGTCTCTGTGAAGGGCTGAGGTATTAAAGCAGACTGGGAACGTCTTTCCAGGCAAGGGAAAGAAGATATCAGGTGCCAAGGCCCAGGAAGGAGGCCAGTGTGACTGGCTGTGGTCACTGAGGTGACAGAGGAGATGCAACTGGAGAGGTCATGGGAAGACAGCCAGGGAGGGTCTTGAGCAGAAGGGTGACATGTGACATGTGGGTTGAGTGCACCCCCTGCTTGTGAAGGTCCCAGAACTTGGATTGCTATGGTGGTTTCAAGCCCCCCCCCCGCCCTGAGGCTCTCCTTATCCACCTGAGGCTGCCAGGCACAGTGGTACAAAGCTGTCTGCTGCTTAAGACTTCCAAGTAAGCAGGTAAGTGGGGGCTTAAGTGCAGCTCACACCTGCCAAGCCCAAGGCTGTGTTCACCCAGCAGACAGTGTTCTCAGGTGTACTGCGAGCGCCCCCACTACCATCCTCTGTCCCCTTGCACACTCCAGGGCAGATCCCAGGGCAGCACTTACTCAAAGTGCCTCTGGAGGGGAGGGGAGGGGAGAGGAGGGCGGAGGCAGCAGCTGCCTCTTCTGCAAGGAGCTCGGCCCTCAGTGCTTTCTCCTCCTTATCGATGCGGCGAGTTGCCTCTCAAAATTGCTCTGCCATCATTAACACCACGAATCAGGTCAGAGGAAGGCCGTCCGCAGTCTTGGATGGCGAAGGCAAAGTGCTGATGCTGATTATCCGACATCTTCCTGGCACGGCCCATTCCGTGCTTGTAGTTCTTAATCAGAGGGGTGGCGGGGCTTACATGGCGGGTGGGCCAGGGTCAAGGTTGCTTCTAGTCCGAGTCTCAGGACCACAGAGCCAGTCTAGGGCATGTGTTAGGTCCCCAGAGGGCTTGTCTGGATGTCACAGGTGGCCCGGTGACCACAGTACTGTTTCACCTTCTAGAGAACAAATTCATCCAAGGGCAATGCCCAAGGGGTTTGCTCGGTGTAGGAGTGAATGGTTCATTTGAGCACAGGCCAGAAGCCATGCTCCTGAGACTCACCAGCAGGTTCTGGACCTCACTGGTTGGTTGACCATGGGGCAGAGAGGTGCCTTTCAGAGCACCTTACCATTGGCGCTCCCTTTAGGACAGGCTGGTGGCAACCAGAGCCTAGCATTGTGGACGCAGCTACCTCCACCAACCTTTATCCTCTATTCCAGACACACACACACAAACACACACGCACATGCACACCATGATTGCCAGGCACAGATCTCTGACCTGGGCTCTACAGGTCTCCTTGAAGAATGCAGCTCAGCCTCCCTCTGCTGCAGAAGTTAAGCCCATGGCACTTGTGCTCATATCAACCCGCTGAAGTCTGCAGCTCAGCCCGAGACCTTCCTGGCTCTGGGACAGTCGCTGGTACTCTGTGGATCAGGCTAGAAGCCTCAGAAGGTGTGTCCCTCTGGAGCGGTGCAGCCATGGAGCTGACAGCTGGCATTCCCCTGCTTGGGCAGACGGGGTCTGAGCAGAGTGCTGGGACCCAGTGTTTATGCTGGTTCAGTGACCCTCCCAGCCGCCCTGCTTCCCCTGACAGCTCAAACACTTCTGTCCAGTCTGTGTCAGGGAAGATTCTAGCACCCATGCCTGAGCCCACTCTCACTGTCATGGCGTTGTCACCGCCCCTGAAGGCTCTCTTTCTGCTTGTCCCCTGCTCCCTAGCCCTTTACGCCAGTTTCTGCAGCACTCCTAAATGCTGCCCAGTTCTGTCTGCATGGCCTGAAGCCTCACTACCCTGGGACTTTCAGGAACAGATACCATGTCTTTTTGCCCCTTGTTGTTATTTTTGAGACAGGATCTCTCTCTACATATCCCTGACTGTCCTGGAACTCTTTCTGTAGACAAGGCTGGCCTCAGACTCACAGAGATCCTCCTGCCTTTGATTCTGGAGTGCTGGGAGTAAAGGTGTGTGCCACCACAACACCACACCAGGCCATTTATTTATTTATTTATTTATTCATTTATTTATTATTGTCTTTTTATTCCAGCCTAGGACAGGACTTAACAAAAGAAGCAACCAGATGCACTCTGTTCTGTTTTGCCAAAGAGAGCCAACAGAAGCACCACAATTAGTAGGGATGGGACAATATAGACTCCATGCTTCTGCAATGACACCCTGGAGTCACAGCTCCAAATGCTGTCACTTTCCAAGGTCATCAACAGGCTTCTAGCTGAGCAACCACCCCAAACAGGAGCCAGGGGAGGGTGGGGCACCTGTTGAGCTGCACTCTTGTCCCCTGCCACAGCACACCTGTGGTGAAGGGTAACCTAATTTTTGCCCAATCATTTAGAATTGTGTTTTAAAACAAAGCCCTAGTCATAAATGTTGGCAAGTTCCTTCACGTCTTTATCTTTTGTACCATCCCGTGATATGGCGTTAGAATCTGGACTCATCCTAAGAACACACACAGAGCGCTGGCCGGGTGGGAGCTTCTCTGGCTCCGCTGTTCACTCTATCTCATTACCGTATCGAACAATAGCTTCAGACATATATTGATGAGCAGCTCACTTGTGGTTCAGCTGGATTTCGTTCTAGATTTGAAATTAATTGAAAATTGAAAAACAATAAAAATAAGAAAAGAAAGAAGTGAAGACCGAGTTGTTATTTGCCCAGAGTGGATCCCAGGCTCAACCCAAAAGTGAGTCATTGTTGTCCCCCTACTCCTTCTTGTTTTGTTTCCTCAGGGAATCCCAGTGTCTGCGTACCCCAGGTGACAGAACCGAGTCCTACTGATCTAGAGCTATAGGTAAACAGAAACCACTTGTGCAAACCCAGGGAAGGTGTTCTGTTTGTTTCAACTCTGGCTGACTGATGTACTGAAAACTGATTTCAAACAGCATACGTGTGGATCTGTTCCGAGTGCCTGGCTGTCAGAAGGCCACCACGGATGGTGACAGCGGGGGTGGGGGGTGGGGGAGGTGGGGGGGTGGCAGGCGAAGAAGTAGAAAGCTCCTTCTCAGCAAAGCTTACACTGAGGATGAGGAGGGCGACGGGTGGATTTTCTGGGAAGGAAACTATGTGCACAACCTCCAGGAGCCCCCTTGGCGCTGCAACCCCAAGCCCAAATGGCAGGCCTGACCAGACAGGAGGCTCCAGGCTTGGCTGGGATGACACCGCCTGGGAGATATTTTGACCTCCCCTCTCTACCCAAAGCCGGGGCTCTGAGCCTGCTATACTGAGAGCTGGTTGCAAAGCCCAGAGAGCTGAGGCTATTCTCTCAGTCTGGAGGAAGCTTCCAGACCTGGGGGTTGGCTCAGTCCCTATGGTCACGATGGGAGGAGGAAGATGGAGGGGCTGGGTAAAGGTTCGGGCGACTGGCCAAGACCAGTGTCGGCGGGCACCAGAGGTGGATGGGCAAGTGTCCACTGACCCACCCTACCTGCGTGGGAAACCAGACCAGCCCTCCTGGCACCAGGCTCGTTACCGGGAGATGGAAAGCCAGCTCTAGGCTTAGACCCTTGCGTGGTGACACGCACACTCAGCAGAGCCCTCTTCTTCGAACCCTGCCTGGATACTGCCCAAACAGGTGCCCCTTGGACCTCCCCAGGCACGCAAACCCTGGACAAGTGGGGTGGGGGACTGGCGCAGAGCGGCGCGCACCCTGTC